TGCTTTATTTTATTTTGCTTTGTTTTGTTTTTATCCCTTTTTTCTCTGTTTCGGCTCCACAGAACAAATAATTTCAGTTTCTCTCTCTCTAAGTTTACTGGCTTTCTCTCACTTGTATCTGCTATTGGAAATTCTTATTTTAGTTATTGAAACTTTAGTTCCAGTGTTTGTTTCCTTTTAAATTTTTCTTTTTATTGATGTTCTTTATTTTTACAGACATTGATTTCCTGGTTTCCTTTAGCTTTTAGTCCATGGTTTCCTTTAGCTATTTGAGTTTATGTAATACAGCTTATTTTAATTTCTTGTCCACCAAGTTCAATATATATGCTTTTTCATAGCCTGTTTCTCTTATTTTCTTGTGCATGGACCATATTTTCTTGTTTCTTTGAATGCTTCATCAATTTTAAAAAGAGTGCATATTAGATATCACAATACATCGGGGTTGGAAATCATGCTCTTCACTCCTCTAGGTTTGTTTCTGTTGCTTTTTTTTTTTTTTTTTTTTTTGGGGGGTTTTTTTTTTTAGGGCTCGCCAGACAGACAGAGAGAGACAGAGAGACAGAAAGCGAGAAATCACCCCCCAGGGGGGACGGCCACACCACAATCCCTTCTCCTCCATTCTCCTTTTGGGATCTTGGACAGGCACGCACACACGCCCGGTGTGAGTTTAAGCCACCGGGTCCGGGATGCAAACTGCGGTCGACTACATGGGAGTCTAGCGACATAGCCATTGCGCTAACTGCTGGTCCCTGTTTCTGTTGCTTAATGACACTTCTAAATTATGTTTATTAACTTGTCTCTTTCTGTTGCATGATGTCTGAACTCTCTGTTCCTTTATTTTGTGTTCAATTAGTGTTTTAACATATTTTTTGCGCACCTGTAGATAAGGAAGAAAGGAAGGAAACAGGGAAGAGAATAAGGGAGGGAGGAAGGAAGACCACATTTACCTTTATAGGTTGGCACTTTACTGGGACACTCCTTCAGCATTTAGCCCAGTCATTTACAACTGTTTCAGCCTATACTTTCTGCCTGTGCTGAGCCTAAAATTTAGCCAGAAATTATGGCTTCGGCCTCTCCCAATCATATGTCCCATTTTGAGCAAGCACGTGGCTGTCAAAGTGCTCAGCTTGCATACATGGAACCACTTCAATATCATAATTTCCCAAAGAAGTTCTCTTCTCACAGGCTTTTGGCTTGCTAGTTTTTTTTGTTTGTTTGTTTGTGTGTGTGTGTTTTTTTGTTTGTTTTTTTTTGTTTTTTTCCCCTCAACCATAGTCTTTTGTTCCTGGTATCAGTGAGTTGTGCTTTAGCTGCTATGGGATAAATTTTATCTTCTCCAAACATTCTTGTGTTAATGTCCTGCTCCAGAATATGACCAAATTTAGAGACAAGTTACTTTATAGAAGTAATTTAGGTAAAATGAGGTTAATAGGGTAGACCTTAATCCAATATAGCTGGCATTGTTATAAGAATAGGACATTTGAACACAGACATGTATCAAGAGAAAACAATAAGAAAACATGTTAAGAAAACAGATCTCTATATA